CATTCATTTCTATTTACAAAAGCAGCCAACTATTCTGTTTTTTTCCTACCTTCTATAGTAATTTGATAGTTCTATAGAAGGACCGTGAACCAAATCTGAAATTCTAATTTATGTCTACAGGTGGAAGGCAGAAATTGCCTATGAATAATACTATTTAAATCAACTTCTCGAGAAGTAGGTAAGACACCAACCTGAGTAGTAAAGGGATATTGTCATGTGGAAAACACATGTTTCTGCCTGAAAACATTGTGCTACAATTCACGATTAAGATTACTCTAGTTCATGACAATTTTCTCTATTTGTTAGCTTCTTCATTTAATGCCTATTTGATGCCTTAGAAAGTAAATCTGTGAACAGCTTGGGCTACCAGGGCTCTGCAGTAACATACAAATGTTTTATCCACTCTCTTGTGAATGGCCAACCAGCCTTGGCACAGGCAAATATGATCATGACCCAAGGAACAAGAGTGCCTCAGCAATGGATACGTATGACTGGAGAGAAGATGTGCAGGGATCTCAAAGAGTTCAAGAAGGCAGCTGCTTCATGGATCATTATGAAGAACTGAAGTCCTGGCAGGGCCCAGTGAGGCAGAAAGGGAAATCAGAGAGGAACCAGAGTCCATCTGAGTGCTGCATCCAGAGCACAAGCCCTTGACCATCTCTAGCCTTTCAGTTCATGCTCTGCTGATCTGTCCTGTGTGGAAAAGGGGTGTGCAGGGAATCACTTGTGTGACTGGACATGTAAGATATAGTCCTTTCCTGCAACCAGCAACATGAGCTCTAAGGAGTTTCTACTCTCATGTGCCAAAAAGCTGCCACCTCCTTTCTCACCAAAGTCTTCCCCATAGCTCTTGTGCTTGTGAGAAAATGCGGTCAATTGGGTCAGCAAACTAATCTACACCAAAAATAACCTGCAAAATTATAAAAGACTGGACACATGGGCATGGTGTACCACACTGCTCCACACACAACTAGGAACTGGCTGTAGGGATACTCTCTCGGGGACAGAATAGGGTTTCCTTAAGCCAGTTTGTGTTTGCAAGGAAATGCAAAGAACCATAACCAGAGTTGTTCCACCTTGCTGTGAAGGCACACTCTGAGATGTCAGCAGAGTGGCAAAAGATACATTTTCAATTCCTTGCTTATAATGTGAACTAAGGATTGCGTGCTTTCTACTGCTACAGATAGGAATGCATACAGAGAAAATAAAAAATACAGAGAGGGCAAAAATGGTAACACTTCTGTGATTTTTTTTAAACATAATCTTTTTTTTTATAAATAACTCACTGAGAAATTCTGCAAGAAAAACAAAAACCTTTCTGTAGGTTTAAAGAGAAGCAATGTAATTAGCAATCTTGGTATTAAAAGCATTTTAGAAGCTTAATGGACCCATGGAAAGAACAACAAGCCATTAAAATACTAAATTGTGTAGATGATGTATTCTGGTATCAGCTGCTCTGTGATAGTGATAAGATCTGAATTAATATTAGTTTATAAGCAAAAGCATATTTTCTGTGATTTAAAATGCACTGTATTTAGCTGTAAAATTAATATGCATTTATAGTAATATCACAGATTTCTTGCTTTGCTATACTGTAGACAAGTTACAAATTCTATAAGCTAAATTATGGCCCAGTGATTTAGCAAGTGATTAATCTAAACATTAAATCAAATAAGCAGCTAAAAAGAAGTTAACCTCAGATGAAACCTATGTAATCAGGACAGTATTGATTTTCTACTAATATTTTGAATTGAGAGCTATTTTCTTCATTTGAGCATTCATTTATGTCATTTGCTATATAATCTGTGTGTATCTGTTTTGTGAGAATTTAATAATTAAGACAGTTAAGTGAATCTATTCAGAGACAACTTCCCTTGTACTGCAGTAGGAAACAAATTTACATTTTATTTCTTCCTCTATCACTCAATTTAATATGTCCATGGTTACATGATAAATTTCCATATTTTTTTAAATGAAATGTCAAGTTCGTGGGGTTTATCTGCAGGTAGAAATGTTCTTTTTGGTGTGGTTGCATCTGTGAAGCATATAGACTTGAGCCACAATGTTTAGGCTGATTAGATGGTTAAGTGTTTCTCAGCCCTTAAGTACCTCTTGCTAAGCAAGTTAGATATAGTCCAAAACTGAAAAAAAAAAAAAGTTTTCTAGTGTTCTGATAATGCATAATGTGACACAAATTGGTTGTTATTTCATAAAATCAAAATCTGTCTAGAATATGTTCAGAGAGCTGCAGAAATAACCAGGAGAAAAATGGTATCACAAAGTAAATAGATTTTAACCGGCAATTGGATTCAACAAGGCAAGTGTTTTCTAATGAGTACTGCTTCTTACTCTTCAAAGACCAGTGATTATCTTGCCATGTTATTTCTCAAGTAGAGTTCATTTTGATGTTAAGACAAATTCACACTCTACATTTATATGTGTATCGAGTTATTTTTCCATCTATTGTGCCTTTTTCTCATGAAGGATCTCAAAGCTTAGGAAATTAGGTGGTATTTTTCTGATTCCTTTTGCACAGGGGTAAAATGGGGGAACACGGAAGAGAGAAATTTCCTCTCTTTTTTTTCTTCATCTTACACAGCTCCACGGGGATGCCACTTCTAACACCTGGGTACGGCAATTAGCAACACACACCCCCACAGCAAATTGGACACAAGAGATTTTTCAGTCCTGTGCAAAGACTTGCATACCCCCGTGAGGTTAACAAAGCCAAAACACACCAGCCCTGCCTGGTCAGAAACAGCCCACAGTCTTCTACCTCAAAATATTTCACAGTGCTCCTTTTCTGGAGATTTTCAAAACCCACTTGGATGCTACCCTGTGCTTTAGGTGTCCCTGCTTGAGCAGGAGGTTGGACTAGATGATCTCTAGGGGTCCCTTCCAACTTAAACCATTCTGTGATTCTGTGATCTCTGGAAACATTCTGGCTTTCTGTTTGAAAGAAGACTGATACGTGTCTAGTCGTTGAAGAATGACCACTATGGTAAGGTATCCAATGGGCTATCGCAAGAGGATTTACCTGAGGTTTGCTTACCTGCATATGTTGTGCTGTTCAAAATAGTGGTGGCTGTTGTGAACGTGGGTGTGTTTTTCTGGAAGGTGGTTTTAGGTATCATAGAATCATAGAATCATAGAATCATAGAATGCTGAAGGTTGGAAGGGACCTCAGAGGTCATCGAGTCCAACCCCCCTGCTCAAGCAGGGTCACCTAGAGCACGTGGCACAGGACTGCATCCAAGCGGGTTTTAAAGATCTCCAAAGAAGGAGACTCCACAACCTCTCTGGGCAGCCTGTTCCAGTGCTTTGTCACCCTCACAGTGAAGAAAT